TGAACTACACACACAACCACACAACCACACCCTTCCGCTACCACACTACTAATACAACCACACCACAACACTACACTATAAACTACATAATTACAGCACTATAACACCGCTACACTTCTACCACACCACACACCTACCACACCACACACCTACCACACCACACACACACACCATCACTACAACATATACTGATATACATAATAAACACCTATGGATACATATATACATATATTCCCATTAATACACTTATACATACATACATACATACATACATAATATATACGTACACAGACAATGAATATATACACACTCACACAAACACACATGCAGTCATACACACATAACGACACACTGTGTGAAGGGAACTGTAGTAATCATATCAATAGTGACACTTGTAATCTGCATCCTCTCTCTCTCTCTCTCTCTCTCTCTCTCTCTCTCTCTCTGTCTCTCAAATATGTTCTTCCTTCGTCAATAATTTCTATCTTTCTTTTTCTCTCCTTTATATATATATATCACGCACACCCACAGTGATTTACCTGCATATATATATTAGCTTATATAAAAGTGTGGTGGGGTGAAGTGCGTTAGACGTGAGTGTGTGTGGTGAGGTGTGTATACGTGAGTGTGTGTGTGGTGAAGTGCGTTAGACGTAAGTGTGTGTGGTGTAGTGCGTTAGATGTGAGTGTGTGTGGTGAAGTGCGTTAGTCGTGAGTGTGTGTGTGTGTGGCGAAGTGCGTTAGACTTGAGTGTGTGTGGTGAAGTGAGTTAGACGTGAGTGAGGCGAAGTGCGTTAGATATGAGTGTCTGTGTGTGGTGAAGTGAGTTAGACGTGAGTGTGTTGAAGTGCGTTAGATATGAGTGTCTGTGTGTATTGAAGTGCGTTAGACATTAGCGAGTGTGTAAGACCCAACACACTCACCTACATGACCCACACACACCAAATACCAAACAGGAAAAAACACAAATATTCCCTAAAATATGAAGACAAATCCCCATCTTTAAGTAATAAGTCAAAGGAAAAAAAATAAGTTTTATTTTTAGAATTTAAGTGATTTTATAAGTTATTGTAAGTTGCTGTAGTGGTTTTGTTGACCTAATAGTACGGGTAGGAAGCTCTTGTAAATATTGGTATTTTCTTATTATTATTGTTATTGTTATTTTTGGTGTTGTATTATTATTATTAGGATCATTTTTATTGTTTTTATGCTTATTATTGTTATTATTCTTATTATTATTATTACATTCTATCATTACTATTATAGTATTACTATTAACATTATCACTATTTAAATCATTACCATCACAAGTCATATAATAATATTCTATACATATTATCAACATCAATATAACAATTTATCATATTAGACTATATATATATATATATATATATATATATATATATATATATATATATATATATATATATATATATATATATATATATATATATATATATATATATATACATATATTAACATGTTTTTAAGTGTTTCTGTGAGCCGCTATTTTATAATCAAGTATCATTAGTAATTTTTCTCCTATGTGATATATGAATAATAATTATTTGTATATGTATATGTGCATGTAGAGTATTTTTGAGGATCTGTAGAATTTTATGAGTAATTTTTGAGGATCTGAAGAGTTTTATGAGTAATTTTTGAGGATCTGAAGAGTTTTATGAGTAATTTCTTTTCAGGATCTGTAGAGTTTTATGCGTAATTTCTTTTGAGGATCTGTAGAGTTTTATGAATAATTTTTGAGGAACTGTAGAGTTTTATGAGTAAATTTTGAGGATCTGTAGAATTTTATGAGTAATTTTTGAGGATCTGTAGAGTTTTATAAGTAATTTTTGAGAATCTGTAGAATTTTATGAGTAATTGTTGCGGAATGTGTTAGTGATGTGTAGTGTAGATAATTGTACTGTTTTGATGAGGAGTCATAGTGGTTTGTTGAGGCGCCTCGATCACTGTGTGTGTGTGTGTGTGTGTGTGTGTGTGTGTGTGTGTGTGTGTGTGTGTGTGTGTGTGTGTGTGTGTGTGTGTGTGTGTGTGTGTTGTTGTTGTTGGTGGTGTTTTGTGTCTGTCCACTATGTGTTAAGAGATGCTGCATGTATCTATGTATGTATGTATGTATGTATGTATGTATGTAATGTTGTGGTGATGTTGGTATGTCGGTTTACTCAAGGGTGTGGATGATACAGGCCGGAACATGATATTCCCAGAGTGGTGAGAATTACATACACAAGCGACAAACACTCATACACTCTCACTCCCAGCTAATGTTACCCGTGAGAGAGAGAGAGAGAGAGAGAGTTGTTATATTAATTCCTAAACAGTAAAAAAAAAAGGAACAACTGAACACTGAGTTTATATATTTGTAGTTTCTTAAAAAATTCAAAGTAAAAAAACTCAAGGAAAAACAATATATAACAGGACAGATTAGATACTGGTGCTATGCAAGTCTAAATTGAGTTCCCGTGTTCTATGATCTCCCGCCGTCACCCTTCACCCACCCGGAAGCGACTGACCCCCCCAAAATAAACACGTTCTAGAGTTTGAATCTCTCTCTCTCTCTCTCTCTCAGCTCAATTACGCATTATTGACCTCCTTAAATTAAGATATAGTAAAAAAAACAGGTCAGGTAATACAATAACTTTTGACCTTTATATCAGATCACAATACTCAGGGTGTCACAGGTTGAGGTTGACAATATTTTGTTTTGTGATTCGACCTTAAGAATCTGGCTGGCTGTGTGTGTGGTAAGAAGGAAAGGTGTGTGTACTGTACTAGCCGGCTGGAAGTGGGAGTAACAGCCGGATACATGGATGAGAAATGAAAGGAGATTTGAGAAAGAGATAAAAGTAACGATTGAGAAAAAAAGAAGAATGAATGGACAATTTACGTGAGGAAAGTATAGAAACGATGAATACCTGAATGAATGAATGAATGAATGAGTTATGACTGAAATCAATAAAATATAGACATTACTAAAAAATAAATAAAAATAATATATAAATACTTAGGATTAATAAATAATTTTTTTAATATAGATACTCCTTAAATCAGCCAAATTATTATAGAAAACGAACCCAACAGAATACCATGGCTCCTCATAAGTGACATTATTGATAGTACTGTACTGATATAAATGTTCCCTGTGTGGTCTACCCTCACTCCCTCCCCCTCTCACCGCTTGTATGAACGTTCGTCAGACCTTTCGCTCCAGTGTTTCATCCCAGTGAGTATCTGTTGCTTGCTCTCTCTCTCTCTTTTTTCCTCTCTCTCTCTCTCTACTGTGAAACCTCTATATAACGGACTTTATGATAAAAAGTCCATTATATCGAAGGTCCGTTAGATATGATACATACCCCCATCTAACGGATTATATGGAGATGAAGTCCGTTATATGGAGATGGAGTCCGTTATATGGAGATGGAGTCCGTTATAGGGAGATGAAGTTCGTTATATGGAGGTTTCATTGTCTCACCTACTCATACCACGTGTCTCTTGTTTACATCTTTCTCACTCGCCACGTGGCTTCTGTTTACTTTTCTACCATTCGCCACCTAGCTAGTTTGTTTACCTACTAGCCACGTGGTTTGTTTACCTATTCGCCACGTGGCTTGTGTTTACTTACTCGCCACCTAGCTAGTTTGTTTACTTATTCGCCACGAGGCTTGTGTTTACCTATTCGCCATTTAGCTAGTTTGTTTACCTACTCGCCAAGTGACTTGTGTTTACACTTTACTCACCACGTGGCTTGTGTTTACCTATTCGCCATTTAGCTAGTTTGTTTACCTACTCGCCAAGTGACTTGTGTTTACACCTTACTCGCCACGTGGTCAGTGATTACAGGCCATTCACTTGACACATGGCCAGTGTTTACATCTTGAATATAAACACTCCAGATCGTTGTTTACTTCCCACCCATCCGTCACGTAGTCAGTGTTTACATTTATATTGGATAAAATCATGGCTCACCTATAGAACACAGGAGTGATCAGAAAAATGGCAAATGAAATTCAACACCAGCAAGTGCAGCGTACTTAATATTGGAAGAACAAATACTGTTAATGTATACTGCCTTAACAATATCAACCTAGAGAAGTCGCCTGTGAAAGAGACTTTGGGGTATTTGTAAGCCCGGACCTATGGCCTAGAAAACAGTGCGTTAATGTTCGAAATAAGGCAAACAGAGTATTGGGTTTTATATCTAGAAGGGTAAGTAATAAGAGTACAGAGGTCATATTGCAACTATATCTTGCGCTAGTCAGGCCGCACCTCGATTATGCTGTTCAGTTCTGGTGTCCCTATTATAGAATGGATATCAATTCACTGGAGTCGGTGCAGCGAAGAATGACGAAAATGATTCCGGGACTTAAAAACCTTCCATATCAAGATAGATTAAAGAAACTAAACTTGCATTCCCTAGAGAGACGAAGAGTGCGGGGAGATATGATAGAAGTATTTAAGTGGGTGAAAGGAATCAATAAAGGGGATATAGATAAAGTTCTTATAATATCCGAGCAGGATAGGACTCGGAGTAACGGATTTAAGTTGGTTAAGTTTAGGTTTAGGAGGAAGATAGGAAGAAACTGGTTCACAAATAGGGTGGTGGACGAGTGGAACAAGCTTGGCAACTTTGTAGTAAGTGCTGGAACGCTGGAAAGTTTTAAAAGGAGGCTAGATAGATTCATGGATGATAGAGAGTGGTAGTAACTCTAGACAGGAGCTGCCATGCACAGGCCAACCGGCCTATTGCAGACTCCTTATTTTCTTATATTCTTATGTTCTATACATCCATGAAGTTAATATATTTTTCATTATGTAGCGTTCACTGGAGGCTTATTGTTTACACTGAGACCATCCAATACAGATATTATTGTTTACTTCTGGTGAACTTAAAATGGGGTCGTTGTCTACGTTATGGGCTCAGACCGCTTGATTATTGTTCACACACACACACACACGCACACACACACACACGCACACACACACACACACACGCACACACACACACACACCATCATAATACTCGGTGTGTGTGTGTGGTGGATTGCAACATACGTCACACTAGCTAAACTGCCTTCACACACACACAGAGGATAGCCTCACCCTGCTTTACCCCTTGTTGACACAACCAGCCATTGAGCCTCACACGGGTGTAGTGGTGAAGGTGTGGGTGTATGTGATGAAGTATAGGTATGGGTGTAAGTGGTGAGATACAGGTGTGGGTGTAGGTGGAGGTGTTGTGTACAGGAGGTAAAACAAAAGAGAGCTATAGCTTGATGGCGTCATGGTGTGCCTGGCAGTGCCATTGGGTAAAAATCGTTGCCAGGAGTCTAGAGATGGAGAACTTATCCCTATAGGAAATTCATAATTGTGATAAATAGAGAAATTAAATATAAAATGAATGTTTGAGGATTAATAGAGATAATAAAGAAAAAATAAATAAACTCATACAGTAGAATGAATTAGTTTAAGTAGTTATTTGGCAATGGAGGAGGATGTGTGTGTGTATGTGTGTGTGTGTGTGTGTGTGTGTTACCATTTAAAAGACAGTCACCACAGTGTACAGGAGAGAGTGGACAGTGCTAAGTGACAGTATATTCAGACAGAAACACACAGTACTGAGTTAACTTAAACCAGCCAACTGTGGCCATGTAATTAAAACATCATTGGAAACTGTGGCAATAATCCGAATATTTTTATAATATTTATTTTTATCAACAGCAAGAACAAATACGACTTAGTTATACTGAAAACTTAATATAAAATGACTTTGAATTAATAACACAGACTGGATGGGAGATTTAGTGAGTGAAATAGTGAAGAAAATTAAGAGAAAAATATGAGAAATAAGATGAAAGAAAAAGAGATATCAAGTCGACGTGTTATAATGTTGTTCTTCCTACGTCTGGTGTGAGGGAGAGTGAGGGAGGGTGAGAGTGACAGAACACCAACTTATGGACGACAGAAACAATGGAGAAGTGACAGACACACATACACACACGCCTCTACAGTTTAGTGATATACAGTAATAGATAATAGAGAGATAAAAAACAAACAAACATCAAATGAAGACAGTAAGTGATTTTGTTTTTATTTTATTATATGTATCACGTGAAGATTAGACACCCCGCTATTTATTTCACAAGATGATTAGAAACTCTGGCGCTAACCAAACTTAATCCTAACCTAATCTAACCCGAATCTAACCTGAACAAACCTAATCTAATCGTAATCTAATCTAACATACCTTAACCTAACCTAACCAAACACCCCCAAGTAGCGTTAGGGTGTTCAATCATCAGGTGTTTACATACGACACATACTCTCCACGTGGCTATTGTTTACATACGACACATACCCTCCACGTGGCTATTGTTTACATACGACACATACCCTCCACGTGGCTATTGTTTACATACGACACACGCCCTCTCCATGTCAAACAATACAACATTTAATTTCCTGGCCTTATTGTATACACGGGTGTTTATGGCTTGACTGACACACACACACACACACACACACACTATACCTCCATAAGGATGACCAGACTAGCGTATAGATTCTCCAATATTTCCTACGTTCAGTAACTCTCTCTCTTGAAGATGGTTAAGGTGAGACGAATATGGGGTGTCCCAGAAAAATTTTCCTGTCTCCCTACCTCCCTGCCTGCTCCCTGCCTCCTTCCCTCCCTGCCTGCTCTCTGCTTCCCTACTCCCTCCCTCCCTACCTGCCTTCCTGCCTGCTCCCTGTTTCCCTCCCTACCTGCCTTCCTGCCTGCTCCCTCCCTCCCTACCTGCCTTCCTGCTCCCTGTTTCCCTCCCTCCAACTCTCAGTGTCTCAGGGAGCAGGCAGGGAGGGAGGGAGGGAGCAGGCAGGGAGAAGGGAGGGAGGGAGGGTCATATTTCTTGAACACCCTATATATAATAATAACGTTCGGGAATTGTTAAAAGTAAAATGATCTTTGATATTACATAGACATACTATAGTATTTGTGAATGAATTCTCGTTAAGACAAAGAATCACAATAAGAATCTTTGAGAATCTAGTTACCTGGGCCATTATACCTGTAAACGTTAATTAACTTCGGTTACCTGGCTGTAGTTTAATATAGTAGATGCTTGTGTTATGAGCCTTACTGTAGTCACCGCCATCATGTACTACTATAACAACTATATTCTATTATTTTTTAAACTATACCTCTAGAGCTCTTAGTTAGAAGCCGTATGTCTGTCTGTCTGTCTGTCTGCCCTACCCCACACACCAGAGATAACGTGACATCTGTTTTTTGTTAGGTGTTATCTAGATCCCTCATAATTTATGCTATAATGTTAACTTTGTTCCAAGCTTCGATATTGGTAAGTTTTATCTGTATGTTTATTCTCTCACGGGGAAGGGGAGGGTGGGGGGAGGCTGTCTTGTTCAAAGTAGACAAGGGTAATATATTAATGTTCATTATAACTTTGAACACAGCCTCTCTCTCTGTCGCTCTCTCTCTCACTCACTTGTTCAGCTTGTGGAGTTTGATCTGTCAATTGTTTAATTTATTGTTTATTTTTCTCTCACATCTTCTTCTTGCTTATCTTGTTTTGTTTAAGTAACCATAACCAAACACGTATTTATTGAGTGTTTATTTACCATGGGGGGGGGGATATCACTCAGATTTTAAACCATTGAAAATCTGAGACATTTTTTTCCCCCTGTGTATACATTTTTATTCCATCCTGACTTAATATTATTTTTCTCAATGCTTTATTTTTATCTTTAACTTCAATATATATATTTTTTTTACGATAATTATTAGTTTACTTTTAAAGAGTAGTGTTGCATCGTGTGTTTGTTTGTGTGTGTGTGGACCGGATTGTTTGTTGTTTACCATTGAAGTAAGTTATTGTGCTGTTTGTATTGTTGTAGATGATTAGAATTATACCTTATCGTAGCTGTAGTTGTTTACACCCTATCATAGCTTTAATTGTTTGCACCCTACCATAGCTTTCTCTGTTTGCATCCTACCATAGCTTTAGTTGTCTACACCCTACCATAGCTCTCTTTGTCTACACCGTACCATAGCTTTGTCTACACCCTACCATAGCTTTCTCTGTCTACACCCTACCATAGCTTTCTCTGTCTACATCCTACCATAGCTTTAGTTGTTTACACCCTGCCATAGCTTTGTCTACACCCTACCATAGCTTTGTCTACACCTTACCATAGCTTTGTCTACACCCTACCATAGCTCTCTTTGTCTACACCCTACCATAGTTTTCTCTGTCTACACCCTACCATAGCTTTCTCTGTCTACATCCTACCATAGCTTTAGTTGTCTACACCCTACCATAACTTTGTCTACACCCTACCATAGCTCTCTTTGTCTACACCCTACCATTGCTGTCTCTGTCTACATCCTACCAGAGCTTTAGTTGTCTACACCCTATCATAGCTTTGTCTACACCCTATCATAGCTTTGTCTACACCCTACCATAGCTCTCTTTGTCTACACCCTACCATAGCTTTCTGTCTACATCCTACCATAGCTTTAGTTGTTTACACCCTACCATAACTAACACGTAGAATAAACCGTACTACCATAGCTGATCCAACAAGCTTTATCCCATCATAGCTTCTTAGCTTACCAACCATTCTGTAAATACAACCTCTGCTTGTAGCTGCAGCACGAAGTTTACAGTTACACACGTTCCAGATTACTTAAGCTGAAATATTAAGCTGAGTCTGATGAGAACCTTATTTACAGCTATCTTTTTAGCTGAGTCTATACTGATACTTAGCTGAATATGATATAAAGCTTCGCAGATATCTGGCTTAAGCTCCAGTTGGGTTTGATATTTAAGCTGAACTTTTTAAGCTTAATCTTACTTACAGCTGAGGTATAGTTGGGATTCTTAGCTGAGTCTTAGCTGTATATATCTTAGCTGAGACTTGAGCTTAGAAGTCTTAGCTGTATAAGTTTTGCCTGAGTCTTGCTAACCTTCTCATAACACCTAACCTAACCTAACCTAACCTAACCTTACCTAATACAGGAAGATGGTGGACGATGATATGGTCAGCTAATTCTTCTTTCATTTCTTTCTTTCTTTCTTCTTTCATTTATTGCTTTTCGACTTTCAGAATTCTGGCTATTATCAAGAAGACTATGGCTGCTTACTCTACCTCCTGTCTATCTGTTTGTCTGTCTATAACGAATCTGTCTATCTGTCTAATTATTGGCTGTTGATGCATGTGATTAAAACTCTCTTTTTTGACTGACAATAATAATACAAATATTCATAATTTATTTAGATATTTGAATTAAGGAATTTTTTTTTTTTATAATTTGATCAAAAGTTTGTTGATTGATTTTAAAGGTTGATGAATAATTTTAAGTGGGTGAGATAATTTGTGTTTGTTTAGGGTCAAAGTTTGTTGTGGGAGTTGCTTAAGAGGGAGTGTTTGTTTGTTTGTTTTTGTGTTTGTTTCCCCCCCCCTCCCACTACGATTAATGACGTAATAACCGAGTGACGTCATGACCTACAATTCTGTGACATGACCAATAACACTGTGATGTCATGATCGATAATGTGACGTCATAACCAGCACTGTGACGTCATGGCCAATAAACCTGTGACGTCATGGCCAATAACACAGTGACGTCCTGACCCCCCCCCAACCCCTGTCCCTCCATCCTGCCAAACTGGTGTCAGTAAAGATGAATGAATTAACGTGACCTTTGACCTGACCTTCAGAACCGGGGGACTGGACCAAGCCGTCGAGTGCCCGAGACCCTGGAGGGACACCGAGTAACGTGGAAGGCCTCATCCACCGTAACCGCAGTCCCAGCCCTTCCTCCCATCCCTCCATCCACCCCGCCATCACCTCCACCACCCCAGTCTGCAAGGAACCTTCCACTGTCAAGGTATGTGTCCCCGTCTTCCCGGCTTCCCTTCTATTTGTCTACCCGTCCATCTATTTTAGCTACCCCTTCATCTATCTATCTGCTTCTCTACCCTTTTACTTCTCACCTGGCCACCCTTCCATCTATCACCCGGTCAACCTTCCATCTATCACCTGGTCACCCTTCCATCTATCACCTGGCCACCCATCCATCCCTCTACCTGGCCACCCATCCATCCCTCTACCTGGCCACCCATCTATCCCTCTACCTGGCCACCCATCCATCCCTCTACCTGGCCACCCATCCATCCCTCTACCTGGCCACCCATCCATCCCTCTACCTGGCCACCCACTAACCATCTCTCTCCCACTCAGGTGTGCGTAGATCTGGATTCATCAGAATGCTACAAGCCACCGCGACCGCCCAAGACCTCCCTCCACGCTCTCAACTCCCAGTCAAGTGACCTGCACCGTCAGGCCCCGCCCTGCTACTCGCCCCGTCCCGCCCCGCACACCTCCACTGACCCCAGTTGGCCCTTCTCCGATCAAGGTGTGTGTGTGTTGTATTTACCTGTTGATTGATTGTACCATCATCACCACCTGTACCACCACAGTTATAGGGGTAATTAATGTTATCCTTGGTCCCACCCTGCCAGACGATCCCCCGAGCTCAGCGCGCATGCGCATCAAAAGTGACCGAGAGAAGATGACGGTGAGGAGTGAGGCGATGCGCTACTGGCGCTCCATACACAACAAGTGAGTGTCTACATCACCTCTGCGTGTATTTAAACTATATGTGCACATAAACTTGTGTGTGTGTGTGTGTGTGTGTGGAAACTCAACACCTGGCTCCCCACAGGTACTCTCTGCTCAATGGGTTCAACAGACAGCGCCGTAACGCCATGGTCAAGAAACAGCGTCAGCGGATCAAGGACAGGAACAACATGTCCATCTTCTTCGTGTTGGTGTTCATGTTGGTGTTCGTGGTGATCCTGGTGGTGGAGGTGTTCTTCATAGACGAACACCGGACAGGGATGCTCTTCGGCAACAAGCGACCGTCAGCCTTCGACCCCATCGGTGACATCCCCGACTACTTCATGGAAGACAAGAAGCTGGTGGGACAACTGGAGATCGACACCTACAGGAGACAGGAGCTCTCCGTCAAGAGTAAGACTGGTAATAACGAGAGATTCTACAGGAAGAACGTAGACGAAACGCACCTCATGGCTCGAGTCACCGGGAACCTAGTCAAGTCAGTTCACGGTATAGCCAAGGTGGACTGGCTCAACATGCTGGGCCTCAAGGAGATCACTTACTTCGGCAGCAACAGTTCCGCTACTGACGGTGAGTGGCAGCCAGTCTTCTACACCAAGCACAAGTTCTTCGTCTACTCCGCCTACTACGACGACCGCAAAGGTAAGATCATCCGAGTTATTGGTGCCACCCAGACCAAAAAGAGTGACCGTGTGTGGTGTAAGTACTGGTACTCCAACTCCAGCACCCTCATACTCAACGGTGCCATCAAAATCATCAGGGAAAACTGGAACCTCAAGTTCTCCGCTTGTTTCATCGCCTGTCCTCTTATTATCTACAAGAACGGGAAGCAGCCCATCCCTCCCCCGGAGAGTGTGTCCATCATGGCGGACCCCGGAGGTAACGCCACCAACAAGCTGAGAGTAATGAACCTCGACGTAAATAAAGAGGAAGTGAAGAACAGCTTCGCGGTGTGTGTGAAGCCTCTACACTTCGACTACAACAACGTGAACCAGGTGGTAGAGTTTATAGAGCTGAACAAAATCCTGGGCGTGGAACACTTCACCCTGTACAACCACACCATCGGCAAGGATGTTGACTGCATACTGAGGCAGTATGTTGACCAGGGTCTGGTTAACATACTGCCTTGGAAACTCGATATAAAATCCCAAAAAGAGATCCGGACGGAGGGGCTGTTCGCGTCGCTTAACGACTGCTTGTACCGCTACATGTATCAGTACAAGTATATCCTCATGATCGACCTGGACGAGTACATTGTGCCGCACGCCAACACCAGCCTGCCGCAGCTCCTCCGTTATCTTCACACCAAGGCCGACGCCCGCAAGATTGGTGCTATCAGCTTCCAGAACTCCTTCTTTTACCTCCAGTGGCCGGACGACCCCAGCAGGTGAGTTAATGGTGTTGTAAGCGACCACTCATGATCAGGTCTGGTATACCACGTCCTGACAACACTTAGATCAACCAAAGTTACTTATGGAATAGACACAAATTAGTTAAATAGATCTAAAAAAAGACACTGGCATACACATTATTGATCTCCCTCTGGTGCCTCTAAGAGTGTTCATCTTGACCCTAATGCTCATACTGTGTCTAACTATAAACCCCTGTGGTGTGTGTGTGTTAACCCCTCACACTCCTGCAGCGCCTCCCTGCCGCCCCTGGTGACGCTCCGTAAGACTCGCCGACGACAGAGGTTCCACCCGCACAAACAGAGGTCCAAGTACATTGCCGTCACTCCCTTCGTGGTGGAGGCAGGTAAGTCACAACAACCTAATTAATTCACCTGTGATTCATTAAGGTGTATTATCTGTTCCACCACACACACCTGCTGCTGCATCGACACGGGGAGGAGGTTAAGGGCAGGTGATGGCGAGCTCTTATGTGTGATGCTGTGTTACGAGTATGATGTGACGGAGGTGTGACAGGGGTGTGATCGAGGTGTGACTAAGGTGGACAAGGATAGTAGTGTGCGACTATGATTGTATTATGATGACTGTGCAATAATGGTACAACAGATTAGGGCGTCTTCACATACCCCACCTGACAACTATATACCTGCCAGGTGAGCGAGGAGGTGGAGGGGGCTTACACCTGTTGAAGCCAATACACACACACACACACACACTAACTCTACAACTCATCCCACAGGTAATCACTTCGTCTGGGAGTTCCTACCTGGTAAGGGAACACTGAATGTACCCAACGAGGTGGCCTTCTTACACCACTACCGCGTGTGTGAGTTCGGCGGCGACGACTGTGTGAGGAACCCCAGGATCACGGACACGGCCATGTACCGGTACAAGGACACGCTGGTCAAGGCTTACACCACCAACATGAACCATCTCGCTCACATCTGTACCCTCGAAACCACCAGTAAGGAGAAGTCTGTGTGGACGCTAGGTTGAAGGACCTTCTGCTGGTGACGTGAACTGTGTAGGCTCTTTATCGCCCCCCCCCCCCGGAGGTGTTGGTGCTATAAGGTGTTGTTGTAATGGACAATCTGTGTGTGTGTGTACCTTACCAGGCCTGAACTCTCTCTCTCTCTCTCTAACAGCCTCAGCCACAATACATAAAAAAAAAAAATATCAAACTCCTAAAGACGGATTTTGGTAGAGGTCAGAGCCAGGTCAATCAAGGTACTGAGGGCAGACTTGACCTATCAGAGTTCAGGTTCAGCCTCAGACACACACGGTCGCACAAGTTATAATCTCCGCCGGACACCCCCCCAAGACACACAGCCGACTGTCTCTGCTCACGGAGTGTGTTGTAGCCGCCGGACACTCACTCACTCACTCACTGCTCGAAGCTGTTGGATAATTTAGTTAGCCAAAGCTTGTTTTATAAAAGCTTGTTTGTGTGTGTGCGTGTGTGTATGTGTGTGTGTGTGGGTAAGCTTAACTAGTCAAAATCTTCTCTCTTGTTTTTTAATTGATTCTCTTGATTATAGAGAAATGTTCCGTGGAATGACCTGAAGATTAGACACCCAAGCTTATTTCACCTGATGATTAAACACCCTAACGTTAACCTAACCTAACCTAACACCTCCAGATAGCGTTAGGGTGTTTAATTATCAGGTAAATTAAGCTTGGGGTGTCTAATCTTCAGGTGATCTGCTCAGTAACTTGCCATAATGCTGCACACGTACAGTATTTGTTTATCTTGTGTGTGTATATGTGTGTGTGTGTGTGGTAAGAGACGTGTGTTTGTGGTACGCAGTGGCGGCTCGTGAAAAATAAAATGGAGGGACTGCAAGCCTCACACAACAGTAGGATACACAAATTTGACCTACCTCAGGTATGAGTTGTAGTTGATGTCCACCAATTCCCAGGGCATGGTAGTAGTGTTGGTGGTGATGGACCAGTATTAATTGAAAATAAAGTCGGCGTGTCTGCTCTTCGATGTAGCAAAATTGTTTATTACTATTTCATTAAAATCCTTTATTTCTGTTATCATTTTATTTTCAATGGATATCACTGCTAAAGCAGACAGTCTGTCATTCACCATGTATTACTTGAAAATAAAGTCCGTACTGTTCTGTTGAATGGATAAAACTGGTGTAGGTCTTCCTCTTGCTTTGATTTCAGTCTTTTCATTTAATGTCAGCTGGGAAAAGTTGATGTTTTGCAAATACTTCACTCGATTTTCCATAGGCAAAGGGTAATTAAAGAAAGCACGATTTAACCACACCGTCTACACGCAATGTAAACACGAGACTGAGCTGCTTCAAGTGCGGCGGCGGCGCCAATTAATAACAGACATGAATCGTACAGCATTGACAGCAACTATGAAAGTAATTTAAATTTTGGTCTAATTTTAATGAAAATTCACTTAGCAACGTATTGAAAATAATTAAATAACATATAAAATGATATATTTGTTGGTAGTGTATTATTCAGCTGTCTCTCTAAAGGAATCATACGCCTGGCAGTGAGTGTCTGGGGGGACTGCAGCTCTTCAGCCTTATGCACGAGCCGCCACTGGTACGGTAGATTCGCATCATCCGTAGTGTTGCTAGGTGTAGTGCCTCCGACACACACACACACACACACACACACACACACACACACACACACACACACACACACACACACACACACACACACACACACACATACACAACAAAACCTTACAATAACAACCACAAACAACCACGTGATGTTAAAACTAATAACGTGTTAACTTATATACTGTACACTAAAGAAATTAAAATAAGAGAGAAATAAGGAGACAAATTACTATACTGTTTTATATGACACTAAGGTATTTCATGACATATATCGTATAGGTTAAACAAAGAAAATGTTTATGTTGTTGCTGATGTGATGACAGATACTTGTACAATCTAATGGGGAGGAGATGATTAATGTGTTTGTTATGAATGATGATAATGATGATTGATGATGATGATGATGATGATGATGACCCTGTGTTGTATGATGGGCTGATTAGAATGACCTGTGTTTATTTTGTTTGTGTATGTGTTTTAATGACGTTTAATTGGTGAACTATATTACTGAGGAATTTATGTAGTGTTTTTTTTAAGAACGACAGTGACGTAAGTTTGTGACGTAAGTTTGTGACGTAAGATGACTGTGACGTAAGTTTGTGACGTAAGATGACTGTGACGAAAGTTTGTGACGTAAGTTTGTGACGTAAGATGACTGTGACGAAAGTTTGTGACGTAAGTTTGTGACGAAAGTTTGTGACGTAAGATAACTGTGACGTAAGTTTGTGACGTAAGATGACTGTGACGTAAGTTTGTGACGTAAGTTTGTGACGAAAGTTTGTGACGAAAGATGACTGTGACGTAAGTTTGTGACGTACGATGACTGTGACGTAAGTTTGTGACGTACGATGACTGTGACGCAAGTTTGTGACTACAGTTTTGACGGACTAGCCTCATCCCTTACTTAGAATAGTCTTCAATAATTGGCCTCCATATCTACCACAACTACGACCATTATGTGTCTTCGTCTCTGTGTGTGGTCATTCTGAGGAACACACACACACACACACACACACACACACACACACACACACACACACTACGTGGGAAGCTGCACACAACAATGGTCCTTAAACAAAGTCTGTACGTAGCTGAACAGTAGCCAGTCATTAATATCAGGGAGGGAGTCTGTTACTGTTACGTAGTAGGGATCTGTAAACACGACCTCATACATAACATAAAGTAACATGGTAACTGTATCAACGAAATAGTGTCACCATTCTACAGCAAATAAACATTCTACAGATATAAACAAAAAATAATTACAAGTACTTATATTAAAAGTACCAAATTAATAGTTTTTGTAGTGAGGTAATACAGATTCAGACACACAGCTGGCCACGAGACACAGCTGGCATCTTTCTCATGGGCGCCACCCAGCTCCCCCATCAACAAAGACAATGTTTCACAGTGAACCAGCCAGCCACAGTCCCACCACGGCCGACTTGCTCAATTAACTGAATCTAAAAATACAACGGACTGGTGCTTGTTACTATGACCAAAAATACCTATTAGTACACGCTGGAGTAACAGTTCATATCCTGACTGTTAACTGGATACATTCATTAAGGCAATAAAATATACTTATCAATGTTAACTATTACATTAAAAAACTGTATAAGGAAGTCTTGTTGATATGTATACTAGTAAAGACACTGTACCAAGGTTGATAATATACATACTTACAGTCATCAGAATAATAAGAGTTATTTTGTAAGTATTAAATCAAATCTGAACAATGTATCCCAAACGCAGCAAACGTACCCAAACTAATATAATTCAACCTAATCACTAATATAAATCAAATACCTATTTTCTTCACTGTTTTATCCTATATAAAGTTCTATATATAAATTATAAACGCCGTATTATACCTTATTAACATCCGTATTACACTTCCTCTTGAACTTATTTTATCAGTCATTTCTATGTACTGTATGATAATTCTCGAAAAATTAATGATAGTTTATCGCTCAGACATTTAGCGACGGAAGAGGCGGTATTTTCCTCCTTCGACAAGTATGGTGCTATTCATTACCAAGTATGGCATTTATTGAGGAGAAATGACCTTGTTCTTTGATACTACAATCCTTGGGGGGGATCTCATTTGACAAAGAGATAATTTTTTTTAACGAAAGTGGACTGTTGAGAAATAAGATAGGACATATGATAGCTATAATCAAAACAAAACAAAGACATATGGCGCTATAATCGGAAAAATAAGACACATGACGCCTATAATAATCAGACAGTAGACAATAGACACCGTAGCCTATCATGACAGCACAGGGGATCCAATACTTTATGAAAAGGTGTTGAACGTCACTGGTGTGTGTACGTTTGTTAAGAATCGTCATTTATGAGAGAGTGAGCTCGTGAGTTGATCATTTTGAGTTGAAGGTGCTGCCACTGTTGTGTTAATCCAGCCTAATGTGTTTTACAGCTGAAGACCATTTTGTATGACTCAAATAAAATGTTAGAATTGTCCGCTGTTGTTTTGGTGTGATTCTCCTTGTCTGAATCAGGTGTAAATATGAGTTTTTATAGCTTTTGGAGGTGTAAATTGAATATATTCTTGTGTAAATAAGAGCTTTTGTATGGAAATAGTACAGATATGTCAAAATTTAAACGATATCAGAGTTAATTACGTTTAATTCTTACATAAATTGTCTAATAACGAAGTGGAAGTATTACAGATGAAAAAGTTATCGTACGAAATTGAACTAGAAAGCTTGTGTTATTTGTTTTCATAGTCAAGAAGTATACGTTGTTTAAGACTAGTATATACGGTAATTAATTTCTGCCAGAGACTACATCAAAATTACGAAGAATATTGATATTGTAAAAACTTTCTCCACACATAATATAACTGTGAAAATATGGCCAGAAATACAACAATAATCACAAATATCAATGTTAAATAATTACTTGTATCAACACTTACCATGACTGATGATGATGCTAGTCCGCGTGAGTGATGGTGAGGCTCCATTAGGCTTCTCCACGATGAGGCTACTGTTCACATTATTTGAACTCACAAGCTTAGGCAGATCATTTTGCTGGTTAAAGTCATATATAGCCCAAAAGCTTATTGAAATTAACCTCAATCTTGTCCATGGTTACATTATTAAAGCAATCACAAGCACATGTAAGTCACAACACAGTAATGTTCACCTCGGCTGTTAATTTTTCTCATTACTATCACAACAAATTAGTTCTCCACATTCCTCCTAGGCTTCTGTGAATATACAGACACCAGTGGTAGATTATCACTGTTTGAGGAACTCATTATTCGCGAGTATTAAGCACAAAATACACCACAAGATGCTGGCTAACTACCACAATAGAATGTAAACATTAAACAGGTGAGTCACACTAAACGTTGCTTAGCTGGCGGGATTTGGCAACACCTCATAATTAGTTAAATAAAACGTATGTTGATAAGTAAAGACATCATTATAAAGAGTTTTTTTTTGTCAGGTAAGGTTTTACTACACTGCCACCGAACTGAGCACTTAATGGTTCTTTTGTTAGACTTTTCTTAGTTTACACAGTGTTCCAGGGATCAGGATCACGACACTCACCAAGCTAACTTGTTCTTCTAGAATCTAAGGGCTCACGCAGGTATAGTTAACCAACTTTAATGCACCACTCCTCTTTATTATCATATAATTAATAATGATAACAAATTCCAGGACTATGAACCAAAAATTACGAGATTGATTATACGATTTATTAAAGTAAAGTTATGCACTGAGTGTCAGAGAGTACACATACACACAGACTGAAGATAAGCTGTAAGAGTTAGCCTTCACTGTACACAGACAAGGGGTAAGTACATTTTCAGGAATTGTATACAGTAGCATGAGATACTGGCGTGTTCTAGTATGACAGTTGCAGTAGTTAAAACAACTTACCTCCCTCTCTCTACCCTACTCTGTGCCTCCTTCCATTTCCCGCTCTACATTTCTTAACTTGACTCAAAAACAAACATAGCGCTTGTTGAGTTTCCGCTGAAATCTATAAATCCGACGAATTCTACTGAAAATATAGACCCACGGGGTAATTATCATAATATTTTGGCCGAATGGAAACCACAAATAGACGGTACTGTATAAGACTTGATAATATTTCGTGTGTGTGTGTGTGGGGAGGGCGGTGGGAGGGAAATGCTAAGTTGTTTGTTTACAGTCCAGGCGATACGGCTATCTTACTTACATGTAATTTCAACTGTATATGCTTCATGTTTGTGAACCATTTTGGCGTTATTTACCAACTGAACACCGAAAACCGCGACTAAACAACGAAAAGCAGTGACCAAACTCGTGGACGCCACCCTCCCTCATTTTGTTTTTGTTTGTAGAGACAGGAGGGATGAAGGAAGATTAGAGGTGGGGGAAGGAAGTTATAGTTCGGAAATTGAAGAAATTTAGGAGGAGGTAAGAGAGGGCGGGCTGACCGCCTAGCTAAGCTAATAGTGTGTTAGGGTTGTGTCAAGGGTTAGTTATTGTCTGTCGGTACAGGCACTAGACATCCTACCCTGTTCCATATAAGGGTGTTTTAAGGGCCATATTTCATATTCCGCCGACCCTACTGCTATCCCTCCCTCCCTCATCCATTCCTCCTCTCCCTTCCCCCTCCCTCCCTTTCCCTGTGCAGCTCGTGGCCCAGGACTATGTAAACACAGGTGTACAATGTAATCTACAGAGGTGTACAAAGCAATCTACACAGGTTTCGTATCGGCCTCTCGAGTGACTTCAGAACTCACCAACGAATATATCATTGTATCATAGCTGGATGATCGCCATAATGGATTCCGATTGACAGCAAAGTAGTAGTAGTAGTAGTAGTAGTAGTAGTAGTAGTAGTGTGTGTGTGTGTGTGTAATTATCACAGAAAGGGGACACAGACAGAGACAATGAGATGATGTAAACAGAACGACTTCAGTATAGTGATCCAGCTCCTTCAAGACACCATCATGAACGCCACTAGTGTTGAAATATAAAACCACCAGACCATCACAATACTGGTGGAGAGGGGGGGGGGAGGAGGGGGAGGGGGAGGGTTTGAGGGGCGTCTGTGGTCACATTGAATGGTCCAAATATGATTCTGATAACGTCGATAAACATGTTCACCTGATTGATGATTATTATACACTGCTGCGCCATTTCTTCGGTAAGGTTGGGTGTTTGATGACATGGTGTAGAAACTGTTGAAGGTAGGTAGATAATGGTCGCTGTGGCGTTGTCTCTGTCATAGGTAAGATTTGGATGAGTCACTGGATACCTAAACTAACCTGGCCTAACATAACCTAACCTAACCTAACCTAACCTAACCTAACCTAACCTAAACTAACCTGGCCTAACCTAACCTAACCTAACCTAACCTAAACTAACCTGGCCTAACATAACCTAACCTAAGAAAACACAAATCAGGTAATGGTTAGGTTAGTGTCAGGTTAGCATAAAGTTAAGTTAGCGTTAGGTTAGGTTAGCGTTAGGTTAGGTTAGCATTATGTTAGGTAAAGTTAGGTTAGGTTAAAAACTAGGTTAGATTAGGTTCGGTTATCATTAGATTAGGTTAGGTTAGATTATCATAAGGTTAGGTGATGATTAGGTTAGGTTAGCATTGGGTTAGGTTAGCATTGGGTTAGGTTAGCATTGGGTTAGGTTAGTATTAGGTTAGGTTAGCATTGGGTTAGGTTAGGTTAGTATTAGGTTAAGTTAGCATTAGACAAGGTTCGGTTATCATTAGGTTAGGTTAGTATTAGGTTTAGATTAGCATATCTCAAAATATCACCCTAACCACCCCAGTTTTAGGTCACTATTACCCCGTAGTTTGTAACGAGAACAATATTAAAAAAGACCTCCCTCCCTCAACACGCAGTCACGGTGATAGTCAGCTGTCAGATAAGATACGACCCTCAGTAAAAGCATTACCTAGATAATGCATTAAGTCTGTAAAGCGAACACAACACTTGCTCCCCGTGTAAGCTCCCTGTTGGTGCTTTCTACTGCTTTCTTCACTGGTTCGAACTACTTTCTCCACGTCTTCTGCTGTTTTTTCCACTCCATCTACTCCTTTCTCCGCGCCTTTCCTTGTGTAAAATATCACGATTATCAGTGAATTTTTCTTCAAGTTAAAACACAATTTGGTGACATAATTAATGATGACAAACTTTTCACCACACACACACACACACAACATACTCATTCACACAACACACACATTCACACAACACACACACACAACACACATACACACACACATACACACAACACACATACACACACACATACACACAACACACATACACACAACACACATACACACACACACACACATTCACACACATACACACACATACATACACACACACACACACACACACACACACACACACACATTCACACCACACACACACATACACACACACACACACACATTCACACAACACACACACACACAACACACATACACACACATACACACAACACACACACACACACACACACACACACACACACATTCACACAACACACACACACACAACACACATACACACACACATACACACAACACACATACACACACACATACACACAACACACATACACACAACACACATACACACACACACACACATTCACACATACACACATACATACACACACACACACACACACACACACACACACACACACATTCACACCACACACACACATACACACACACACACACATTCACACAACACACACACACAACACACATACACACACATACACACAACACACACACACACACACACACACACACACACATTCACACAACACACACACACAACACATACACACACACACACACACGCACACACACACACACACACACATACATGTAATAATTCCTAATGGTTGCCCCTCGTGAAACGAGGATGGCCGGCCCAAGGGCCATCTATGCGTGAATTTGTTTAAGGTGTAAAAGTGGTCGCCAACACCGTAAGTTAACGAGCTGCATGACCCAGTGTCAAGGAATAGTCCCAGAAGACCGGACAACTTGTCAACTGCACTGGCTAACCATTACTCCGGATTACGATCCGTAAGTCGATTAACATCAAGGTTTCCAATTACTGCTGAGTAGACAGAGGTAAATGGCGTAAAGAAACTTGCCCATAGTTTCACCCTGCCCGGGTCAGCTCGCTCGCCTCCATAACGCAACAGTTGGCCGATACTGATATATAACCACCACACACACACACGTTTTGTTATGTAAGTCAGTAGTGTTATGCACATGACCTTGACCATGAGTCTTGTTAATCTCGGCTGTGTTAACTTGTCGTGAGGATGACCTTGAGATCACCATCACTCATCACCATCTCCGTCACAACACCGTCACCACCCTCATTGTCACCACCATCAACATCATCACCATAACAACTGACACCACTACCACAACCATCATCTTCATTATCACCACCACCACCATCATTATCACCACCATCATCATCACCATCATCATCACCACCACCACCATCATCACCATCATCATCATCACCACCACCACCATCATCACCATCATCATCATCACCACCACCACCATCATCACCATCATCATCATCACCACCACCACCATCATCATCACCATCATCATCACCACCACCACCATCATCACCATCATCATCATCACCACCACCACCATCATCACCATCATCATCATCACCACCCCATCATCACCATCATCATCATCACCACCACCACCATCATCACCATCATCATCATCACCACCACCACCACCGTCATCACCATCATCATCATCACCACCACCATCATCACCATCATCATCATCACCACCACCACCATCATCACCATCATCATCATCACCACCACAGCTACTGGTACTTCAACACCTTGTCTCCTATAAGAAAAACTTAATGATATATATAGCAAGGCTGAGAAAAAAACGTGGATATTAATACGCTATCAACTCTAACCTCCCTCCCTCCCTCACCCTGTCTCAGCACCACCAACCCATCTTCTCTCCCTTCCTCACCCTGGCACCCTCCCTCCCTCACTATGACACCCTCCCTCACTCCACACCTTGGCACCCTCCTCCCCTCACTATGACACCCTCCCTCCCTCCTCACCTTGGCACCCTCCTCCGCTCACTGCAACTTTTCCTCCTGCTCCTCACCTTGGCACCCTCCACTCCCTCACTATGACACCCTCCTTACTCACTCCACCTTGGCACCCTCCTTCCCTCACCCTGGCACCTCCTCCCTCCCTCACTATGACACCCTCCCTCACTCACCCTGGCACCCTCCCTCCCTCACTATGACGCCTCCCCTCACTCCACTCACCTTGGCACCCTCCCTCCCTCATTATGACGCCCTCCCTCCCTCATTATGACCACCCTCCCTCACTCACCCTGGCACCCTCCTCCCTCCTCACTATGACACCTTCTCACTCACTCACCCTGGCACCCTCCCCTCCCCTCACTACCGTACCCTCCTCCTCCTCACCTGGCACCCTCCCTCCCTCCCGCATGACACCCTCCCTCACTCACTCACCTTGGCACCCTCCTTCCCTCACCCTGGCACCCTCCCTCCTCGCTGTGTTTTCCTGACTCACCTGGCACCCTCCCTCCCTCACTACTGACACCTCCCTCACTCCACTCACCTTGGCACCCTCTCTCCCTCATTATGACACCCTCCCTCACTCACCCTGGCACCCTTCCTCCCTCACTGGCCACCCTCCCTCCCTCACTCACCCTGGCACCCTCCCTCCCTCCTCACCCTGGCACCCTCCTCACTCACTCACCTTGGCACCCTCCTTCCTCACCCTGGCCTCAGCCCTCACTCACCCTGGCACCTCCCTCCCTGCTGGCCTCCCTCCCTCCCTCCCTTGTAGCACCCTCCCTCCCTCACTATGACACCCTCCCTCTCTCCTCACCCTGGCACCTCCCTCCCCTCACTATGACACCCTCCTCCTCCTCCTGCCCTGGCACCTCCCTCCCTCACTATGACACCCTCCTCCTCACCTTGGCACCCTCCCTCCCTCACTATGACACCCTCCCTCCCTCACTCACCTTGGCACCCTCCCTCCCTCACCTTGGCACCCTCCCTCCCTCACCCTGGCTAGTACTGCCCCCCGACATCTCCCCCCATGACTATTATCATGTCACTGATAACAATATATTTTGAGAGATAAGCCCTTTCTTTATCAGCTACGGTGGGGCGACGGTGCTCAGTTTCTGCGGGAGTCGTGTGCATCTAACACCCTGACTGTAGTGCAGGCTGCCAACCATTTGTCGAGGAGGTGGAGTGTGGTCAGAGTAGTACCTGGAGTGTGTCACTCTCTTGACTGCGTTTACATTTCTCCATCATCACTCGCTGCATAGTTGTCATACTGGACGTCTGAAAAGTCTATGACGTGTGTTTAGTGACTGGGAGTGTTTGAAGCCACTCACCCGTCTGTTGCTCCAGGCTGCCGACTCCTCCTCACTGTGACGGCAGCTGTGAGTAACATCTAGGTAGCCACGGCGGGCGTCTGTCACCATGGAGAGCCAACCGTCACAACTCAGTGTGGTGTCGACGCGTATCTGGATAAATAGTTCGAATGAACGAGGTGATTCAGATAACTAGAATACTTGTGGTGGCGCGGTCAGTGTTGTGTCAACCCATTGCGTTAATCGTAGTTGGTGGCCCGTCGTGGTAGGTAGCCCGGTCATGTCCCGAGTGATGAGAGTCCACCCCTGATACGTCACCAGGACTTATGAAATACGAATACAGTGTAAGTCAGAGCCGTACCAGAGCATATTGGGAAGTCATTAAAGACCGAAAAGTGTTGGTAGAATATTGTCAGTGTAATAACCGTGTTTAAAAGAGTGGATATAGTGAGTGGGCTGCATGGAGTGTGTGGTGGAGGCCGACACCCTTCAGGAGGACGGTCAGCGGGCGTAATGAGGAGAGCGGGAGGTGTGTGCAGGGCTCCCGCCGCCGTCTTGGGAGTCCTACTGCTGTTGGCTGCTCTCTCCCGCGCCGCCGCTATTCATGGAGTCTCATCCTTGTCACAGCACCACAACCAACACAGCGACCCTCCACACACCACAGCAGAACCCCCCAGCGACCCTCCATACACCACAGCAGAACCCCCCAGCGACCCTCCACACACCACAGCAGAACCCCCCAGCGACCTCCACACACCAGCAGAACCCCCCAGCGACCCTCCACACACCACAGCAGAACCCCCCAGCGACCCTCCACACACAACAGCAGAGCCCACCGGCTACTCTGTGGCACCCACAGAGCCCACGCCCACACGTATGGCATCTGCCACAGGGGAGCCCCAGATGAACACGATAGAGAATGATGTACAAGACGACACGAGCAGTTCTCTTTCTGAAAACATTAAAGATCCAGGACTCAGCGGTGAAGAACAACACTCGAGAGAAGCGAGTGTCTCCACCACCGACCAGACTCCCAACACCACTTTCTTCGGTGTTGTGACTGGGCAGCCCACGACGTCACGAGGGACGAAAGGGATAGCGAGATGTTTTTGGGTCTGGTTGTCACAATATTTTGAAACCCCAACTTTGGATTTCCTCGACCCACTGCCGCGTCACCTCCCACCACGTATTGCCGACGAACATTCTTTAGCTGTGAGTGAGGTAAGATCCCTGGAGAAGGAGGTGAGAGATGGGAGAGCCAACCTTCCTGTTGGGTGTAACTTCTTGATGATTCAGGAGGGCACCGTCTTCTGTACAGGCAACAACATCACCAAGATCCCAGAGTTTGGTGAGGCGCGACACATCAAGATTCTTCACTTTTCCGGGACGGGGATCAAGATGGTGACTAGTATGGATCCTTTACCAAGGTCCCTTAAATCCCTCACTCTCTCTGAAGGGCAGCTGATGATATTCGAGGGTTGTAGGTTCTTCCAGATCGCCGGGCTGGAGTTCCTGTCCCTCGAGTACAATACTCTCTCTAGCTGGAGTTTTGTCTTCGCCTTCTACTCCAAGGACGCCCCCATGGCTATTACCATCAAGACCCTCAACCTCCAGAACAACCTCATCAGTTATCCAGTAAGTGTTGGTTAGGTTTGGTTAGGTTAGGTTTGGTTAGATTAGGTTAGGTTTGGTTAGATTTGGTTTGGTTAGGTTAGATTAGGTTAGGTTAGCTTTGGTTTGGTTAGGTTAGGGTTCAGGTCGGGTATGGGTGGTTGGTTTGAGTTAGATTAGGGTTTTAGTTTGGTGGGTTGAATTAGGTTTGGTTTAGTTAGGTTGGTTTGGTCGGGTATGGGTTAGCTTTTGGTTTGAACTTTGGTTTTGGTTAGGTTAGATTAGGTTGGGTTTGGTTAGATTTGGTTTGGTTAGGTTAGACTAGGTTAGGTTAAACTTTGGTTTGGTTTGATTATGTTAGGTTAGGTTTTGGTTGGGTTAAGCACTGGTTTTGGTTTGGTTGGGTTAGGTTTGGTTGGGTTAGATTAGGTTAGGTTTGGTTTGGTTGGGTTTGGTTAGATTGGGTTTGGTTTGGTTAGGTTAGGTTAGGTCAGGTATGGTGGGTTAGCTTTGGTTTGGTTTGGTTTGGTTAGGTTAGATTAGGTTAGGTTTACAGAGTTGGTTTGGTTAGAAGAGATTAGGTTAGGTTAGCTTTTGGTCATGATTATGTTAGGTTAGGCTTGGTTTGAAGGCTTTGGTTT